AACTCACAAATTATGATGTAGTCACTTAGCCTTAATTCTGTAAGAATTTAATGTTAAGAATTAATCTAAGTCTGCTCGAAATGCCTAGCCATGCTAGGTGTCCTAGTGGCCCCCTCTGTAATTAGTATTTTATAACATGTAAACCACACAATACCCAAAACCTGTAAACCCCACATTGTAACCCTTATAGAGAATAAACTTGAATTGAATTGAATTAAAGTATAAATTGTATCCAGACCACTAACTTCGTACCTGCATAATTCCTTAGGTTTTTACATCAAATTTCATGTTTGGTGTCACTGATTCAGAAAAAATTCTCTACCATTTCAGAAAAAAAAAAGATTTAAATGTGAACACTGTGAGCATTTAATTTCAGGGATTTGGACAATGAAAGTGTTGAATTTAAATCCTTAACCCTTTCACTGTCGAGACCCCTGATCACAAACTTGCTCACAGTGTTGAAAAAATTAAAAAAAAAAAAAAATTTCTTATCAAAATCTTAAGAAATTTTTTTCTGATTTTTTTTTTTCGATCAGTAGTTACCGAGATATAGAGGCGTGAAGTTGACAGAAAGCGAATTGCTTACCACAACACCAGCGACTGCCACTCACTCAGTAATAATATTTTTACTTTTATTCTATTTTTTCTTTTCTTTTCTAACATTTTATTTTTTCAAGTAACTTTCACGGCCTGTGAGACCAATATAATGCATACTGTATATATATCTACTCATTGTATGCAACACAATAACCACACAAATACAGTGGACCCCCGGTTTACGATCAGCTCCCAATGCGACCCATTATGTAATTGTATTTATGTAAGTGCGTTTGTATGTGCATGTTTGGGGGTCTGAAATGGACTAATCTAATTCACAATATTCCTTATGGGAACAAATTCAGTCAGTACTGGCACCTGAACATACTTCTGGAATGAAATACAGTGGACCCCCGGTTAACAATATTTTTTCATTCCAGAAGTATGCTCAGGTGCCAGTACTGACCAAATTTGTTCCCATAAGTTATATTGTGAAGTAGATTAGTCCATTTCAGACCCCCAAACATACACGTACAAACGCACTTACATAAATACACTTACATAATTGGTCGCATTGGGAGGTGATTGTTAAGCGGGGGTCCACTGTAATATCGTAAACCGGGGGTCCACTGTATTATCATTATATTGTTTACAAAACTTGTTTATACAAACCAAAAAGTTGTTTAATAATATACAGTGGACCCCAGAGTTTTGTGATTAATCCGTTCCAGAGAGCCTGCCGAAAGTCAAAATTCACGAAACTCGAAACCATTTTCCCCATAACAAATAATGGAAATAAAATTAATCCATTTCAGACACCCAAAAATATTAAAATAATTTTTTTTTTCAAATTAAATAAAGATTTTTATACTGAAATCAATGAGAAATCAAGTACATACATATAAAAAATAATAGCATTACACTTACCTTTACTGAAGACTTCTGGGTGGATGGAAGACGGGAGGAGGGGATAGGAGGAAGCTGTACACTATTGTTTGGAAGGAGAATCTCCTTCCATTAGGACTTAACCCTTTGACTGTTTCAGGCCCCTCTCTGAAACTGTCATTCTATGTCGCCAAATATTCAAAAAAAAAAAATTATTTTTTCTTATGAAAATGTTAAGATTATTTTTCTGAGTGTTTTAGTCCAAAAAAAAAATTTTTGCCATCGGTACTTACCGAGATATAGAGCCGTGAAGTTTGCAGAAAATGAGCCGCGTATGGCAACAGCGGCGACTGCCGCTCACCCGGTAAACTTTAGTTTACTTGTAATTGAAGGTTTTTTGTTTTTTTCACTATTTTATTTTTTTCACATAACTTATGTGGCCTACGAGACCAAAGTAAGGTGCAATGTATATATATACACTCGTTGTATACAACACAATAAGCACACAAACATAATTATCAATATATTGTTTACAAAACTTGTTTACAAAAACAAACAATCATCCTCCTCCTCCTCCTTCTCCTCCTCTCCTCCTCCTCCTCCTCCTTCTCCTTCTCCTCCTCCTTCTCCTTCTCCTCCTCCTCCTCCTTCTCCTCCTTCTTCTCCTCCTCCTCCTCCTTCTCCTCCTCCTCCTCCTTCTCCTCCTCCTTCTCCTCCTCCTCCTTCTCCTCCTCCTTCTCCTCCTCCTTCTCCTCCTCCTTGTCTTGTGTGCGAGTGTGTGGCTTATAATTGTTTTGAGTCAGAAGTCGGCAGCTGTCAAAGTGACATATTGTCTCATTACTTACTCCCCCTCCTGCCTGTCAAAACAATGGGGTCGGATGCTGCTTCCCCTCCTCCATTCTATCTAATTATCTTTCTCCCTCATTCTATATCTTTCAATCTGTCTCTCTTTCTATCTGTCTGCCTATCTCTGTCTCACAGGTACACATAAATACAAGTATACATAGTGTAAATTACCTAGGATAACCCAAGAAATCCAGACAAAGTGCTATACTCTGCTTGAAGATGTGAGTAAACGTGATGACACAGTCTTGTGGCTCTCTCTGAGACAGAGAGCTAGATGGACAGACAGGGAGCTTGACAGACAGACAGAAATGTTTGTGTACCAGCAAAAACAAAGGGAGGGCGATGGTCATGTAATATTACCCTCCTTTACACTCATCAAAGTCAGCTCTTATCTTGTCACTGTCATGGGGTGGACTTTTTTTTTTCTTGCTTCAAGGGAACAATATTATTACATCTTCTTCTTCCTCCTCCTCCTCCTCCTCTTCTCCTCCTCCTCCTCCTCCTCCTCCTCCTCCTCCTCTTCCTCCTCCTCCTCTTCCTCTTCCTTCCCTCCTCCTCCTCCTCCTCCTCTTCCTCCCCTCCTCCCCCTCCTCCTCCTCCATTGCTTTTGGTCTCAAACTCCTCCAAATCATGAAATTGATCTTCACTGACACTTCCATCTGTGTTAGAGCATCACTTGGGAAGAGAAGAGTCCCAGATTTGCTGGGGAATCACATATTTCTTACCGCTAGACATGCTGAAAAAGGACAACTGAAATGGCATTCCCACAATGCACCACTGGCTCCCCGATTTTTTTTATATGGTGCACACTGACCATGGAGACCCATTCTCTCACATGTGGGCCTACCAGCTTTCTCCTGCTTGATTTGAAGCTGCTAGAATTTATGCGTATAAATACGTCAGAAACATTGGCTCGTAAGACGTATTTATAAGTCGGAAACAGTCAAAGGGTTAAGGTAGCAAGTCCTTATCTGGGGTTACTTCCCTTCTTCTTTTAATGCCACTGGGAACAACTTGAGAGTCACTGGACCCCTGTTGCACAAAATATCTGTCCAGAGAGGTCTTTTTCTGGCATTTCTTTAAGATTTCCCTGAAGTGGGACACAACACTGTCATTGTACATGTTGCAGATATGGTTTGTTTCAGCTTGGTCAGGGTGATACTTTTCAACAAAACTTTGCAACTCATTCCACATTCCACACATGTCCTTAATCACTGAAGAAGGAACCTCCTTCACTCTCTTTTCCTCCTCCTCTGAAGCAAGTTCCTCAGCTGTGGTCTGATGCTTTTCTAGTTGAAGCTCTTGCAGTTCGTCAGTGGTTAGCTCTTCCCTGTGGTCTTCCACCAACTCTTCCACATCCCCGTCACTCACCTCCAACCCCATGGACTTGCCCAATGCCACAACACCTTCCACAACAGGCAGAGGGTCAGCAGGGACAGGGTCTGCCTCAAACCCTTCAAAATCCCTCTGGATCGTGTTCCTCACTTTATTTACCAAAGGGCTTGCACTAGCTTTCCTTGGGTCCATGATGACTTATTTAGCAGTTGCAAGCATAAAAAACAATGGATTATTATGAAATGTATTGTATGAACCCGCGGGGTGATGGTCACGTGTTGATAAACAATGGCACACTGAGCATGAATAGCGTGGGAGACTGGCTTGGTGTGCGCGGTGACAGGCGGACAGGTACCGGACAGTCGCCGAAACATGAGTCTAATCACGAAACTCGAGGCCAAATTTTGCCAAAAAAACTTGCCGAAGGTCGAATTTCACGAAACTCAATGCTGCTGAAGCTCGAGGGTCCACTGTACCTGAATAAACTTACTTATTCTTTGAGATATGGGAAAATTTGAGTTTCCTCTTTTGCTGTGGTACAACTGAACATGAAGGAGATGGTGCAGCACCAGAGGTGGAAGGTTAATGGTTGTCTGGGTTTTCAGCACTATTTCTGGTATCCTGGGTATTGCTTTCAGTCACAAACTCCTCAAACCCACAAAATTCATCGTCACTGACATTTCCATCTGTATTACAGCTATCACTTGAGAAGAGTCCCAATTCACCCAGGAGTGAGGTATTCCTTACTACTAGGTATGGTGAACAAGGAGTACTGAATTGGCACTCCCACAATGCACTGCAGCTTCCCCGATTTTTTTTTTATGCTGCGCACACTGACCACACACACCCATTCTCTCACACGTAGGTCTACCAGCTTTCTCCCGCTAGATTTGAAGCCACTAGAATTTTGGCATAATACTACGGCACCAACACTGGCTTGCAAGCCATAATATTATGGCACCAACAGTGAAAGGGTTAATTGAACTTATCCTTATGATTTAACCCTTAAACGGTCCAAACAGATCGACATTCAAATTCGTAGTGCTACAAAAGTAGATCTACTTTTTTTACATATTTTCAAATATAACAAAAAAACTGTAGATAAAAGTTTGTTTTTACACGTTTTCACATGTAAAACAACAAAAAAAAAGATCTACTTTTTTTACATACTTTCAAATGTTGAAAAAACGTATATATACGTTTGGACCGTTTAAGGGTTAAATATTTGGTTTCAATTTATTCTCCACATGGCTTGCAAAAACAGTTTTATTTCAACTACCTTCACTTTAGCCATCCTTAGATTATAAACAAAAAATGTGTAATGGATCACAGTTAACTCTAAACTTATTAAGAAAACAAGTAGAGTACATGAAACAATGGTATTAATATACAAGTACCTGTTCCGTTTCCATTATTGTGTCTTCTTCAGCTTTTCTCTTCTGTGGGGGGCTTTTCTGCTGAGCTTCTGCCATTACATCTGTATCTGTACTCTTTACAACAGTCTTGGGTTTCACTGATGCCATTTTCAAAAAGGGGGGCAAAACTTTCTGAAAAAAATTGAAATAATTGTATACTGATATTATGTAAACACTCCAATAGCACATCAATACATAAAACCCACTTGGCTCCCCCCACTCCAATCTAACATGCTCATACCAGCCTGTTGATTGGTCAGGCCCCTAGAATTCAATTGGCTCAATTGGTAGCAGCCTAGATTCACACACTGAGGGACAGGGATTTGATTTCTGGATCGAAAATATTGAGCATATTTCTTTATGTCAGGTACTGTATACAAAGGGGTGTAGTTAGGTGCGAATTGCACCTGCCTAGCATGGGCCAATAAACCTAATGCAGGGTTCCACTCTTATGTTCTACTGCCCCTGTTAACCTTGCAGTAAGCAGATAGTACCTTGGTGTAAGCAGATAGTACCTTGGTGTAAGCAGATAGTACCTTGGTGTTAGCCAACTGGTGTGGGACAATTAAAGGCCCCCAACAGAAATAAGCTTGACAGTATGATGACACATAAAAGGACCCCACTGGAAATAAGCTTGACAGTATGATGACACATTTTTATTGGGTTATCCTGAGGTACTAACCCTCTAGGTTAAAAATACAAATAAAATCATAATCTTTCCCCGCCCCCTCCCTCTAACCCATTCTGGGATGACCCCCAACCTCTTCTTCCTTCCATATCAGATTTATACACCCTCTTGATTACTTTAGTCTGCTTCAAATGTAATTTATTCACATTATGAGACATCGACTAAAGTAAGATCTTTGATAGAGTCCCACACAGAAGACTGATGAGGAAAGTTGCAGCACATGGTACAGAAGATATTATCTCCTGGGTCAAAGCATGACAGACAGGGAACAGAATGTGTGCACAAATGGAGAAAAAATCAAAATGGAGACCCTAGCTGTTTATAATCTACATAAATGACATATATGTGGGAATATACAGCGACATACATAAGTTTCTAAAAGTATTATCCAAAGAGGTTGTTGAAGTGGTTCTGACATTTAGAGAGGATGCAACAATACAGAATGACTTGGAGGATGCATAAATCTGTAGTGGAGGGAAAGTGGGGTAGAGGCTATCTTAGGAAAGGTTGGAGAGAAGGAGTAACAGAGTTTTTATGTGAGGAGTTTAGACATCCAGCAAGTGAGTGTAAGTGGAGGCAAGTGGTTTTTATGACTTGACATGCTGTTGGAGTGTGAGCAAGATTTTTTTTTTTTTTCAACAAGTTGGCCGTCTCCCACCGAGGCAGGGTGACCCAAAAAAGAAAGAAAATCCCCAAAAAGAAAATGCTTTCATCATCATTCAACACTTTCACCACACTCACACATAATCACTGCTTTTGCAGAGGTGCTCAGAATATAACAGTTTAGAAGCATATACGTATAAAGATACACAACATATCCCTCCAAACTGCCAATATCCCAAACCCCTCCTTTAAAGTGCAGGCATTGTACTTCCCATTTCCAGGATTCAAGTCCGACTATATGAAAATAACCGGTTTCCCTGAATCCCTTCACTAAATATTACCCTGCTCACACTCCAACAGATCGTCAGGTCCCAAGTACCATTCGTCTCCATTCACTCCTATCTAACACGCTCACGCATGCTTGCTGGAAGTCCAAGCCCCTTGCCCACAAAACCGGTTAGCTGGATTTGGGTCCTGGAGATGGGATGGGTGGGAATATTGTGGCTTTGAACTGTAATATCAGCACACCTCTGTCAAGACAGTGATGGAATGAGTGATGATTAAAGTGTTTATTCTTTTTTGGGTCTCCTTACAGTATAGTGAGAATATCAGTATGAAAGCTGTTATAATTTGGATCAACAGGGTTGCTATTGGTAAACTGGGCTTTAACATAATTAATCTCAGAAGGGTTTAGGAAAGATTTACAGTGGAACCTCGTTTTTCAGCTGCTGCATTTATCGGCCGATTCGTATTTAGGCTGGTTTTTCAGCAGAAATTTTGCTCTATATTTTGGCCGTATTAGACGCATTAGCCCGCCTCTCCCGCTGGGACACCGTGCTTTGGTGAGTCAGTCTCCCTTTGTCTATCGGCGAGTGAGCATATATTCCGCGCATCCATCCAAACATTTCCTTAAAATCCACTGTTTTTGGTGGTTTTTTATTAATGCGACTGTAAATTGAGTCACCATGGGCCCCAAGAAAGTTCCTAGTCAAGTTCCTTTGGCAAAGAGAATGAGAAACACAATGGAATTTAAGAAGGAAGTAATAGAAAAATATGAGAGTGGTGTTCGGGTGCTGGAACTTGCCAGGATGTATGGCAAAAACAAATCAACAATCACTTCTACCCTGGCAAAGAAAGAACAAATCAAGGAAGCTGATGTGGCAAAAAGGGTAAACATGTTAATGAAAAAGAGATCACAAACAAATGAAGATGTGGAAAAGTTGTTGTTGTTGTGGATCAGGGAAAAACAGTTAGCAGAAGATAGTGTTTCAGAGACAATCATTTGTGAAAAGGCAAGGCAGTTGTATGTGGATCTCAAAGAAAATGCCTGGTACTAGTGAGGATGTCAGTGAATTTAAGGCCAGCAGAGGCTGGTTTGAGAGATTTAAGAAGTGTAGTGGCATACACAGTGTTGTAAGGCATGGTGAGGCTGCAAGTTCTGACAAATGTGCAGCTGAAAAATTTGTGCAGGAATTCAAAGGGTACGTACAGACTGAAAAATTCCACCCCTAACAAGTGCTCAATTGTGACGAAACAGGCCTCTTTTGGAAGAAAATGCCAAAGAGGACCTACATCACGGAAAGGAAAAGGCACTGCCAGAACACAAGCCTTTGAAAGATAGGCTAACTCTTTTGTTCTGTGCTAACGCTAGTGGGAATTTCAAAGTGAAGCCTTTACTGGTGTATCACTCTGAAAATCCCAGAGTGTTCAAGAAAAACAATGTCGTCAAGAGTAAATTGTGTGTGATGTAGAAAGCTAATCATAAGGCATGGGTTACGAGGCAACCTTTCATTGACTGGGTCCATGAAGTGTTTGGCCTGAGTGTGAAAAAATACCTCCTGGAAAATAAATTGCCAATCAAGTGCCTCCTGCTTCTGCTCATCCTCCAAACTTGGTAGACCTATTGTCTAGGGATTTCCATTTTATAACAGTGTTCTTGCCTCCTAACACCTCTCCTCTCATCCAGCCCATGGACCAGCAGGTCATTTCTAACTTCAAAAAACTCTACACAAAAGCAGTGCTTCAAATGTGCTTTGAAGTGACCTCGGACACTGAACTGACCCTAAGAGTGTTCTGGAGAAATCACTTCATTATCCTCCACTGCATAAGCTATATAAGTAAGGCTTGGCAGGGAGTGATTTCCAGGACTTTGAACTCTTCTTGGAGACAATTGTGGCCAGTGCGTGTCCTCGAGAAGGATTTTGTAGGGTTTGGGGCTGACCCTGACCCTGTTGACCCTCTGCCTGTTGTGAAATCTATTGTGGCATTGAGGAAGTCCATGGGGTTGTATGTGAGTAGTGAGGATGTGGAAGAGTTGGTGGAGGACCACAGGGAAGAGCCAATCACTGAAGAGCTGCAACATCTTCAACTGGAACAGCAACAGACCACAGTTGAGGAACTTGCTTCAGAGGAGGAAGGAGGAGGAGGAAGAGAGAGGGAAGGATATGCCTTCTTTAGTGATTAAGGACATTTGTACAAAGTGGAATGAGGTGTAAACTTTTGTGGAGAAATATCACCCTAACCAAGCTGAAACAAGCCATATCTGCAACATGTTCACTGACAAAACCTTGTCCCATTTTAGGGAAATCTTGAAGACATGCCAGAAACAGAGTACTCTGGACAGCTATTTTGTGTGACAGGGGTCCTGTGACTCTCAAGCCAGTCCTAGTGGCATTAAAAGACAAAGAAGGGAAGTAACTCCAGAGAGAGAGACTTGTTACCTAAAGTCCTTATCTGTCCTCCCTCCCTCCCTCCTCCCTGTCTTCCATAAGCCAACAAGAGTCATCAATAAAGGTATGTAATAGTGATTTAAATGTTCTTTATTTATTTTATTTAGTTCTCATTGTTTTGTGTATGTAAAACTATAATTAATCTTTAGAAAATGTATTTTTTGTGAACATTTTTGGGTGTCTGGAATGGATTAATTTTATTTACATTAATTCTTATGGGAAATATTACTTCGAATTTAGGGCAACCTTCTGGAACAGATTACAGCTGAAAAATGAAATTCCACTGTAGTTGTTTGTACCTAAATATTTGAAGCTCCAAATTTTACAACCTTTTACTGCTTTACTGTATTTGCATGGAGTTCCTATATAGGTTGAGTTGTACATATGGTATATCTAAGGTATTTATTTCTTGTGTCTATGTGTACTGTTGCAGCTCTCCAGGAAGTCAGTCCTGGGGTGAAGTTCATTCTAAGTGTTCTGTATAAATATAAAATGCACAGTAATGAGTGGGGATTTGTTGTATGTCAGGTAAATTATGACTTGAATAGTGGGTACGTGTTGTCTGGAACAGGATTAAGTGATAATACTAACAGCTGATTTCTGTTGGGTAACAGTAAGTTTTAAGTGATATGCTATAGTAGATCCCCAAGCACAAATACCAATAGTGAGATAGAGATAGATAACAGTACTGAGTAGTGTTGTTTGTAAAACATGGTAGCGTAATTATGATAGAAAGCTCAACTTTGGAAATGCTGATCACAAACCAGGCCATGGGGGCATGGACCCCCAAAAAGCTCTCCAGGTATACTCATTTTAAATTGTGCTAAATTGTAATACTTCAGTCTGTAAATTGTGTTTGATGACTCCTCAACTATTTAATTATTACCTCAAACATAAAATTCTTTCAACTTCATTGTTTTAAATTGTGCTAAACTGTAATACTGTATTTTTTATAAACTATATCAAAACTGTAATTATTCTCTACTCAACTTACTAAAGCCATTTAGTGTGAACTAGTTGAATATTCAGTTTTCTTCTATTCATTGTAACTCACCTAATGACCATATGTAAAATTACTGCGCTGTTATTGCCTTATTAATCTTAAGTTTGCCCGAAATGCTCTGCATATAAAGGGGTGACTCACGAAATCGTAATGACATGATTGCAAACAAACCATACCACAGGCGGGGATAGAACCCGCGATCAGAGAGTCTCAAAAACTTGCATTTGTGGTCACAGTGGCGCCTATAAATGAAATAGAAAGAAACCCAACGTCCAGTATTGGGCCCCTACTTAAACAAGATGGGTCCTACACAGATGACAGCAAGGAAATGAGTGAGCTACTCAAGTCCCAGTATGACTCAGTTTTTAGCAAGCCGCTAACCAGATTGAGAGTCAAAGATCAAAATAAATTTTTTATGAGAGAGCCACAGAATTTGGTTAACACAAGCCTATCTGATGTTATCCTGACGCCAAATGACTTCGAAAAGGTGATAAATGACATGCCCATGCACTCTGCCCCAGGGCCAGACTCATGGAACTCCATGTTCATCAAGAACTGCAAGAAGCCCCTATTACGAGCTTTTACCATCCTATGGAGAGGGAGCATAGACACGGGGGTCGTCCCGCAGTTACTAAAAACAACAGACATAGCCCCACTCCACAAAGGGAGCAGTAAAGCAATAGCAAAGAACTACAGACCGATAGCACTAACATCCCATATCATAAAAATCTTTGAAAGGGTCCTAAGAAGCAAGATCGCCACCCTTCTAGTTACCCATCAATTACACAACCCAGGGCAACATGGGTTTAGAACAGGTCGCCCCTGTCTGTCTCAACTATTGGATCACTACGACAAGGTCCTAGATGCACTAGAAGACAAAAAGAATGCAGATGTAATATATACAGACTTCGCAAAAGCCTTCAACAAGTGTGACCATGGCATAATAGCGCACAAAATGCGTGCTAAAGGAATAACAGGAAAAGTTGGTAGATGGATCTATAATTTCCTCACAAACAGAACACAAAGAGTAGTAGTCAACAGAGTAAAGTCCGAGGCAGCTACGGTGAAAAGCTCTGTTCCACAAGGCACAGTACTCGCTCCCATCTTGTTCCTCATCCTCATATCTGACATAGACAAAGATGTCAGCCACAGCACCGTGTCTTCCTTTGCAGATGACACCCGAATCTGCATGACAGTGTCGTCCATTGCAGACACTGCAAGGTTCCAGGCAGACATCAACCAAATCTTTCCGTGGGCTGCAGAAAACAATATGAAGTTCAACAATGAGAAATTTCAATTACTCAGATATGGTAAACACGAGGAAATTAAATCTTCATCAGAGTACAAAATAAATTCTGGCCACAAAGAACGAAACACCAACGTCAAAGACCTGGGAGTGATCATGTCGGAGGATCTCAACTTCAAGGACCATAACATTGTATCAATCGCAGCTGCTAGAAAAATGACAGGATGGATAATGAGAACCTTCAAAACTAGGGAGGCCAAGCCCATGATGACACTCTTCAGGTCACTTGTTCTATCTAGGCTGGAATATTGCTGCACACTAACAGCACCTTTCAAGGCAGGTGAAATTGCTGACCTAGAAAATGTATAGAGAACCTTCATGGCACGCATAACGGAGATAAAACACCTCAATTACTGGGAGCGCTTGAGGTTCCTGAACTTGTATTCCCTGGAATGCAGGCGGGAGAGATACACGATTATATACACCTGGAAAATCCTAGAGGGACTAGTACCGAACTTGCACACGAAAATCACTCACTACGAAAGCAAAAGGCTTGGCAGACGATGCAACATCCCCCCAATGAAAAGCAGGGGTGTCACTAGCATGTTAAGAGACCATACAATAAGTGTCAGGGGCCCCGAGACTGTTCAACTGCCTCCCAGCATACATAAGGGGGATTACCAATAGACCCCTGGCAGTCTTCAAGCTGGCACTGGACAAGCACCTAAAGTCGGTACCTGACCAGCCGGGCTGTGGCTCGTATGTTGGTTTGCGTGCAGCCAGCAGTAACAGCCTGGTTGATCAGGCTCTGATCCACCAGGCGGCCTGATCACAGACCGGGCCGCGGGGGCGTTGACCCCCGGAACTCTCTCCAGGTAAACTCCAGGTATGCTAACCTTCCTATGTAGAAATATACTTAGTTGGACGAATCTTATTGTGGGTAGCTGGTCCAGTGGCTAACGCGACGGTTTGGAGTTTTGAGACTCTCTGACCGCGGGTTCTATCCCCACCCGTGGTATGGTTCATATAAAGGGGCTTTTGGCATGTACACCAAATTGTTACACTCCTTTCAACAAGCATGTATCACGCTAAAATAAACTTGTCATTGTCAGGTATACACAGGAATGTATCCTCACATAAATCTACATAGCAATGTATCCTGGTTTAAATCCATATAGCAATGTATCGTCAGAAGCAAATGGTGGATCACCCAACATGTGGCAAGCAGCAGATAATTTAAACTTCTTCCCTTAGCAAATAACATATTAGATCACATCTCCCACTCTTCTGTAAAGTTCATCTCTACAAATATAAAGAGCCCTTACAAATATAAACAGCCTTTAATTGGTATTCTAGATTCGACTTGCCACCACTACCACCAACAGCACACTCTCCTTGTTATTGTTGGGGGTTCTTAAGGGCCAATAAAACTTTATCTTATTGAACCCTACTTCCCTGTAGTCCAAGAAAATATGTTGGCCACATATGGGCGGGAATTATTTATTTATTTATTTATTTTATGTCATTGCAAACAGTACATTGAGATTTTGTATTTACAATAGTGGGTTGCAATGCAAAGAGAGGTTGGTAGATAAGACACATAGGCAACATTTAGGCAACTTTATTCCGAAACGTGAGTACAGAAAGTAGGCAGGAGCAGTAGAGATGTGAAGACGGTGTAATCAGTTCATCACCCTTGAAGTCATAGATTTGAGGTTGTCAGTCCCTCAGCCTGGAGAAGTTCTGTTCCAAAGTCTGGAACTAACTGAAGATCAAGCGACAGTGTTGAGACTTAAATACTATCCGAAGGAGAGGTTCAGGGTAGTAGCAGTAGTGAGAATGTAGCCACTGAGAGGTCATGTCCATCTCAGATCAAACAATTCTCACTTGAAAAAGTTGTCCAAGGTGTTTTCTCTTCTGTACCAAGATGCCATTGTGTTGCAGTGTCTGACAGAGTGAATATCAAATGGTATACAATACCGACAGGTTGGTAGATAAGACACATAGGCAACATTTAGGCAACTTTATTCCGAAACGTTTCGGAATAAAGTTGCCTAAATGTTGCCTATGTGTCTTATCTACCAACCTGTCGGTATTGTATACCATTTGATATTCACAATGCAAAGAGAGCCTCTATTATGCCTAGGTTTTATGGGCCAACTTAACATTATTGGCTTACAGTCTACTTAACACTAAGGATTATATCATAGTTGTACAGTAGGACAGTAATTATTTCATAGTTGTACAGTAGGACAGTAATTATTTCATAGTTGTACAGTAGACTATTAATTATAAATGAATCAAAATTTATATAAGACCAAAGATTAGAGATTTTGCCACCGAAGTGGCTAGTTTATTGTGCACCCCATATCCATCCTGTGGACGGTAGCGCGAGAGCATATGGATACACAAAAGGCCTAGGAACTAGGCCCCAAAGGGTTAACAGGAATACATATGGATTTATATCTACATATCTATAGTTCACTTATCTGTTACAAGCAAATTTAGGAAATTTGCTTAGTATATCTGGTATCTTATTTTCATTAATAAGATATCTTGACATGTCACATAGGTTATTATACTATCTCTTTATTCCTCAATAAGTGGACAATTAAGCACATAGTGTTCAAGAGAGTGACCATATGCAAATAAGTGGCTTTGGCATGCTGCTCTTACCTGTATTTTTTGTACCTCTGTTTGTATGCTTAAATTACTAAATAAATAAATAAATAAATAAATAAATAAATAAATAAATAAATAAATCATCTGTGTGTCTCCCAAACTGCCAGAAGTACTTGTAACCAAGCCTAAGCCTGGCCACTACAACATCAGTCAGTCTGAAAGTTAAGACACATGTGCAACATCTGGATATCTTTATTGTAGTAGACGTTTCGCCATCCAGTGGCTTTATCAATACAGATTCTAGGACATAATAGGAAGACAGTAGAACTATATACAAAAGATGAGGTAATCAGTCCCTCGGCCTTGGAGTTAGTGTTCACAGCTTCATGGTGGAGGAGAATCTGGAGCAAAGACAAGAAGACTGGCGGTTTATATAGGCGTCAGTGGATAGGGACGGGCAGCAGACGAGGGCAAAGTCACTGGTAGGCGGGATTCCCCAGTGGAAGTAGGTCCTTCCCAAAGAGATGGGTTAGTTGCAGCAGCCGTGAAGAAGGTCTTGTAGATGTCCTCTGAACCAAGATTCCATGATGTTGCAGTGTCTGACAAGTTGTGCAAGAAAGGTATAAAATACCGACAATATGAAAGTTAAGACACATGTGCAACATCTGGATATCTTTATTGTAGTAGACGTTTCGCCATCCAGTGGCTTTATCAATACAGATTCTAGGACATAATAGGAAGACAGTAGAACTATATACAAAAGATGAGGTAATCAGTCCCTCGGCCTTGGAGTTAGTGTTCACAGCTTCATGGTGGAGGAGAATCTGGAGCAAAGACAAGAAGACTGGCGGTTTATATAGGCGTCAGTGGATAGGGACGGGCAGCAGACGAGGGCAAAGTCACTGGTAGGCGGGATTCCCCAGTGGAAGTAGGTCCTTCCCAAAGAGATGGGTTAGTTGCAGCAGCCGTGAAGAAGGTCTTGTAGATGTCCTCTGAACCAAGATTCCATGATGTTGCAGTGTCTGACAAGTTGTGCAAGAAAGGTATAAAATACCGACAATATGAAAGTTAAGACACATGTGCAACATCTGGATATCTTTATTGTAGTAGACGTTTCACCATCCAGTGGCTTTATCAATACAGATTCTAGGACATAATAGGAAGACAGTAGAGCTATATACAAAAGATGAGGTAATCAGTCCCTCGGCCTTGGAGTTAGTGTTCACAGCTTCATGGTGGAGGAGAATCTGGAGCAAAGACAAGAAGACTGGCGGTTTATATAGGCGTCAGTGGATAGGGACGGGCAGCAGACGAGGGCAAAGTCACTGGTAGGTGGGATTCCCCAGTGGAAGTAGGTCCTTCCCAAAGAGATGGGTTAGTTGCAGCAGCCGTGAAGAAGGTCTTGTAGATGTCCTCTGAACCAAGATTCCATGATGTTACAGTGTCTGACAAGTTGTACAAGAAAGGTATAAAATACCGACAATATGAAAGTTAAGACACATGTGCAACATCTGGATATCTTTATTGTAGTAGACGTTTCGCCATCCAGTGGCTTTATCAATACAGATTCTAGGACATAATAGGAAGACAGTAGAACTATATACAAAAGATGAGGACCTACTTCCACTGGGGAATCCCGCCTACCAGTGACTTTGCCCTCGTCTGCTGCCCGTCCCTATCCACTGACGCCTATATAAACCGCCAGTCTTCTTGTCTTTGCTCCAGATTCTCCTCCACCATGAAGCTGTGAACACTAACTCCAAGGCCGAGGGACTGATTACCTCATCTTTTGTATATAGTTCTACTGTCTTCCTATTATGTCCTAGAATCTGTATTGATAAAGCCACTGGATGGCGAAACGTCTACTACAATAAAGATATCCAGATGTTGCACATGTGTCTTAACTTTCATATTGTCGGTATTTTATACCTTTCTTGCACAATCAGTCAGTCTGTTCACATTGCAAGTTGCTCCATAAACATACTTATCTACGTTCATGTTATCATAGTGGGTTATAGATCTACTCAGGCTTCTAATTGCATTCCTATAACAATAATTTTAATTATTTACTTCTCTCCTAATATTATTCCTAATGCTAGACACAGTTATACCAAAGTTATATTCTACATTCTCCTTCTGGGTACTCTTAAGATAAGGTAAGATAAGATTTCGTTCGGATTTTTAACCCCGGAGGGTTAGCCACCCAGGATAACCCAAGAAAGTCAGTGCGTCATCGAGGACTGTCTAACTTATTTCCATTGGGGTCCTTAATCTTGTCCTCCAGGATGCGACCCACACCAGTCGACTAACACCCAGGTACCTATTTGCTGCTAGGTGAACAGGACAAGAGGTGTAAGGAAATGTGTCGAAATGCTTCCACCCGCCGGGAATCGAACCCGGGCCCTCCGTGTGTGAAGCGGGAGCTTTAGCCACCAGGCTACCGGGCCACCAAAACTTTATCATGCAGTAGTAATCCAATGTGTGATTGGATCCATAGCAACTGTACATTAATTCCTTTGTCTCTGATTTTTGAGTATCTATACCTGGCTTCTCCAGTGAGCATGTTGTTGGAGTCATTGTACGAGTCAAGATTATTCTTATAATCAAAAAAGAAGCGCTAAGCCACAAGGGCTATACAGCATACGAGTCAAGAACCTTCAGTGATGACATAGAATCAATAATGATAATAGAGTCAAGCTCAGTGTCATAAGTTAGCTTTAGCGCCATTAGGATTGCAAACAATTCAGTTTGCAGTGTAGACGCCCAGTTGTTAATTCTTATGCCTAACTCAACAAATTTATTATCGTTCTTAACTAGGGAGGTGGCAACAAGAGCAGATGCAACCCTGCCGGAAGACTCCTGTTTAGATCCACTAGATGCACTAGAAGACAAAAAGAATGCAGATGTAATATATACAGACTTTGCAAAAGCCTTCGACAAGTGTGACCATGGCGTAATAGCGCACAAAATGCGTGGTTAAGGAATAACAAGGAAAGTTGGTCAATGGATCTATAATTTCCTGACAAATAGAACACAAAGAGTAGTAGTCAACAGAGTAAAGTCTGAGGCGGCTACGGTGAAAAAGTTCTGTTCCGCAAGGCACAGTACTCGCTCCCATCTTGTTCTTCATCCTCGTATCAGACATAGACAGGGATATAAGCCACAGTGCCGTGTCTTCCTTTGCAGATGACACCCGAATCTGCATGACAGTGTCTTCTATTGAAGACACTGCAAGGCTCCAGGCGGAAATTAAATCTTCATCAGAGTACAAAACAAATTCTGGCCACAAAATAGAGTGAAACACCAACGTCAAAGACCTGGGAGTGATCATGTCGGAGGATCTCACCTTCAAGGACCATAACATTGTATTAATCGCATCTGCTAGAAAAATGACAGGATGGATAATGAGAACCTTCAAAACTAGGGAGGCCAAGCCCATGATGACACTCTTCAGGTCACTTGTTCTATCTAGGCTGGAATATTGCTGCACACTAACAGCACCTTTCAAGGCAGGTGAAATTGCCGACCTAGAAAATGTACAGAGAACTTTCACGGCGCGCATAACGGAGATAAAACACCTCAATTATTGGGAGTGCTTGAGGTTCCTAAACCTGTATTCCCTGGAACGCAGGAGGGAGAGATACATGATTATATACACCTGGAAAATCCTAGAGGGACTAGTACCGAACTTGCACACGAAAATCACTCACTACGAAAGCAAAAGACTTGGCAGACAATGCACCATCCCCCCAATGAAAAGCAGGGGTGTCACTAGCACGTTAAGAGACCATACAATAAGTGTCAGGGGCCCGAGACTGTTCAACTGCCTCCCAGCA